AAGTCTACTCGTCTAACTGATCAACCATTAGCCAGTGCTTTGGGACTTAAAACCTATGAAGTAACTCCCAAAGTAACAATGAACTAATAGTCTCCAAAGACAAGTATCCTTTCTAGAGAAACTTCCATTGCCCTGATTACCCAATGGGAAGAGGCCACGATTGGCTTTCCCATACTCTACTTGCAGAGCACTGACTCAGGATTTCAGTCTCTCTTTCTCATTCTCCCAAATTCAACGCCCATCTCCAGAGTTTTATCCCTGCTATATTTCACCCCCAGGGGACCTTACCTTCATCACACTATACAGCAAATACTTAATTAAAGTGAGACACACTGGGCCAAATCCCAGACTAACCAAGGCACCTAGAGTCTCGCAGAACTCTGAGCCTCGTGGAGAAAGATGGATGTTACACAGATAACTATGTTGTGATTAATAATTAATTATATCTGATGTTCCGGAGCCTTCTGTTTGGATCATAATTACTGTTCTGTTTTTTATACCTTCATGCAACATCCTCAGACACACTGGTGGTTGATTCAATTCTTCCAACCACTTCGTTTCTAGATTTTTCTTCCTCAGCTTTTGCCGCCCTCACCCAACCACTAGTTTCCATGTCTTGAGTGCCAAAAAAGGCTTCACTCTGCCATCAAGATACCACGAAAGATCATTTCTCTCAGCAATATGTAGCTGAGATCTGGAGGATGAGGAGATGGCGTAAATGAACACCTAGGATAGTACCTTGTATGTGCCTATAAGTGACGCGTACTGATAAACACAGATGGGTAAGTAGACACAGCTATGTAGAGAGTCTATATTCTTATAGAATATCCGTGAGAGTTCTACAGAGATGCTAAAAAAAAAAAAGTGTTCTTTAAAACATCAGCTGCTGTTTTATCTGATGAAATAAATTTTGATTAACTGTAAAAAAAAAATCATAAGTAAAAAGGATGGTTTTCCTTCTATCCTTACCTCCAGCCATTCCACCAGTCTCTCTACCCTCTCTGGATATCTTAGTTTGCCCGGGTCAGGCTGGACTGAGATCCTCCTATTTGTACTTCCTTGCCTAGCTTGGATGACAGGCATTAGCCACCCTGCTCAGCTACTGTGCTTCCCCGAGAAAGCTGGGACCATAAAATGTAGGCCATCATGCGAAGCCTTTGGTGTCGAATGAAGGCTGAGACACCCTTTCTTTTCCTTGGCCTGGGCTGGCCTTCGATCCCTTCATCTCTACCCTCTTCAGCAGCTCGGATTACAGGCTTGAGCCGTGACATCCTGGCTACTCTCTACATTAATCCGCCGGTTCTACCTGTCCGGCAGCCTTTGTTCCTTCCTGTCCTTAATCCATCCAAGTTGTCTTGTCTTTTAGGGGCTACTCAGGTTTCTCCTCCGTGAGTCTTCCTGGCTGTGGGGGTTTAACTTGCTCCCGGCTGTCCTGTCCCCTCTCCATCTTTTTCCTTCTTCTCACCGAGTGCTACCGAGTTCTGTGCACGCGAGAGTCATTCCTGCAGGACGGAGATGCTGCTGCGGGGCATCGGGGGGATGCATCAGCATCCATCCTCACGGGCAGGAGGCAGCGTCTCACGCGTGAACATCTCCCTGAACCTCATCCTTATCCCCCCATTCTCCTCTGGCCCCAAACGGGCACCGTCTCCTGGCGAGCCCCCGCAAACAACCTGCTGGTGTATGAGGAGGAGACAGTGTCTCACCACCAGCTGTCTTGAAAATAAAGTCAAGACAGAAAGCAATGCCCTCGATGTGGGGCACCTGCCAGTCCCCATGGTGGAAATGCTCCCGTCGTGGTGGATACCAGGCCAGGGCCGCACCGCTGGGCCCAGGAATGGAAGGAGAGGCCTGAGACTGGGCCTTGCGCAGCCTGGCTCCACTCTCTCTCTCTTTCTAGTGCATTTCATTGAAACTTTTTCCTAGTGCTCATCCCAGGAGGCTCAGACCGATGGCCATCTCCTCCGTGGGGCTTCTGGTTCTCCAAGATCCTCCCAGGACAAGTGGTGGACCCAGCCCCTCCCGCGTGCCTCTGTGTGGATGCTATGAAAGAATGACCCTCGGAGACCATGAGACCTTGCAGGGGAAAAGCAATTCACTCGTTTCTGGAACTCCACCTTGAACACTAGGTAAAATCTGGTGGAGGGAGGGAGGAGGGAGGGAGGGTAGGAAGGAGGAAAGGAGGGAGGGAGGGAAGGAAGGAGGAAAGGAGGGAAGGAAGGGAGGAAGGAAGGGAGGAAGGAAGGGAGGAAGGAAGGGAGGGAGGGAGGGAGGGAGGGGAAGGGAAGGAAAGGGAGGGAGGGAGGGGAAGGGAAGGAAAGGGAGGGAGGGAGGGGAAGGGAAGGAAGGAAGGAAGGAGGAAAAGGAATGAAGTCTCGAGAGAGAGATGGAGGGAAGGAAGGAAAAGGAAGGAAGAAAGGAAGGAAGGAAGAAGGGAAGGAAGAAAGGAGGAAAAGGAATGAAGGAGTCAGATGGAGGAAAGGAGAGAAGGAAGAAAGGAGAGGAAGGAAAGAAAAGAAGGAAGGGAAGGAAAAGGAAGGAAGGAATGGAGGGAGGGAGAGAAAGAAAAAAGAAAGGAAGGAGGGATAGAAGGAGGGAGGGAAGGAAGACAGGAGAAAGAAGGGAATGAGAAACAGGAATGAAGGAGGGAGAGATGGAAGGAAGGAAAGAAGGAAGGGAGGAAGGAAGGGAAGAAGGGAGGAAGGAAAGGAAGGGAGGGAGGAAGGAAGGGAGGGAGGAAGGAAGGGAGGGAGGAAGGAAGGGAGGGAGGGAGGGAGGGAGGGAGGGAGGAAGGGAGGGAGGGAGGGAGGAAGGAAGGGAGGGAAAGAAGGAGGGAAGGAGAGGAATGAGGATGAGGGAATGAGAAAAGGATGGGAATGAACATCCAAGGAAAAAGGGAGGAAGAAAATGAGAGGAAAGGAGAAAAGGAAGGAGAGAGGGGGAGGGAGAGAGAGAGAGAGAGAGAAGGGAAGGAAGGAAAAATGTCTTCTGACTCTTTCCTTCACGGTGTTGGTTTTTGTGATTTACCATGTAACCCCCCCCCCCCCCCCCCCGTTCCAGTTCTTGCAGGTGGCCCAATGGGACATTGTCATTTACATTGCGTGAATCTTACTTTAGGACAAAACAGTTTCTTTTGAAATCTCACATTCACACCGGCTCTTGCAGGACAAGGTGGAGCCAGATGTCCGTGAGGCAGAGTAAGGGGGAAGGGAGGGTTGCTGACTTTGGGGGGGGGGGAGGGGGGAAGGAACTGGAAGAAGATGGGATTCTCAGCCAAGAGTGACTTGGATGAAAATCGCCTCGCGTTATGCACAGAGTTAATATCCACGGGGACCACCAGCCCTGAGCTGGTTCTGAATCACAAGGAGCTGGGTTGGTGATACTGGGGGGCGGGGGGTAGTGTGACTGGGCAGGGGTCTCTCTCTCTCTCTCTCTGTGCTTGGCTTGGGCCAAAGGCATCGCTCCCCCAATACCACGTGACCCACGGGAGAGGACTGAAGCGTTCCTGGAGACACAGTGGCGCTGGCAGGGTGTGAGACACGAATGGAAGGTGGCGGGTGGAGGAGACCATCAATTGTGTCTTTATGGGCATCCAGCAGTTGGTGAGCTCTCCCCACACGGCAGTTCCCCGGCGGGATCATGAAGGGAGAACTTTCTTTACTCCTCCCCTGAGGAAGGCAGGGAGGGGCGGGGTGGGGGTGCTCCGTGGGATGAAATGCGGTTCCACGACACATCACTCCAAGCACGCGACATAAATTCACAACATTAAAAGCGCCCAGCACCATTACCACGAGCCATAACAACAATTAATAACACGGGCAAAGAGTTCAAGATGGAAAACCTGTCTCCCTGACACACAGACTCTCTCTCTCTCCCTCCCTCTCTCTCCAGCCTTCCAAGGCACGATCCTTAAATACGTCAGTGTTGAAGGAGGAAAGAGAACATTATCTACCCAGACGTGAGCGCCGTGGTTCGGGCAACGTGGTTCATGTCAGTCAGGGGAGAATCTGAACCGATTCTTGTGCGTTCAATTCTGGTGGTTAGCCGCCCACCCCTCCCCTTCCCCCCCCCCCATTGGATCCTGGGTGGGAAGGGCTAGGGGTGGGGGTGACACCCAACCCACACCTGCCACAGGGAGAGACTGAAGGGAGCGCTGGGGCAAAGCTCCTCCAGGAGACATAAAAATGGCGGCCCGGAGGGTCCAAGCTTCTCATTTCACAGTCCGCTTTACGGTGAAGCCTTCGGTGCATTAAGAGAGTGGAAAGACGGTGACGCTCCCTCTCAAGATCACGTAAGACTGTCGCTGAGTCCCTTGACCACGCGTGCTTGAGTTTCAGTGTCGTTGGGAGATGCCACTCTAGGGCTCGCTCCCCAGGTGACACCAATAAAGCCACCTCAGACCTAAGAGGGGGGAAGAAGACTATGGCGGTGTCTTGGCGATGGGAGCCAGGAAGAATTGAAGATTTCATCAAACTGACTCGGCGACAACCTGATTTTTAAAAAGCAAGAAGAATATTCTAGATGTGGTTTACAGGTGAGATTGGCTGGAAGCCCTTCAGGGCTTGGTTCTACGCTGAGCGGGGTTTCAATGCTGACCCTGGTCTGGCTCCAAGAACATATGGTCAATAGGAAGAAAGAGAACTCAGAAAGATGACAGGGAATCTCAGCCCAACGCCATTAACGTATCACTGACAGGAAGTGTGTCATTGACAGGAAGTGTGTCATTGACAGGAAGTGTGTCATTGACAGGAAGTACATCATTGACAGGAAAGTAGGGTACCAGATGCAGCTTCCCACGATCGCCACAGCTGTCCACGTCCAGATTCGACTTCTGCAGGATAATAGAGCCACAACTCTTTCCAATGAGATGTAGGTTTGTGTGTGTGTGTGTGTGTGTGTGCATGTGTGCCACAAGAGAAGGCCTAGAAAGAGAACGGTAGGAAGACGAAATCTGGACGCCAACAAGACAGAGACAACGGGAACAGAGGGGAGAGCCGTACCTGCTCCGATGACCTCTTCGATTTTCACAAAAGACACGTCAATCTCCTTGGCAAATTCCCGGACAGCTTCGTTGGGGTCCTCGTAAGTGAAGGGGTCAATGTAGATCTTCATCCCTGGGGAGCCTTATTGGAGGAGATAAGTAGGGTTAACATCCCAAAGAGGAACACGGCGATCATCAAGTAGTGGCTGGTATCACCAACACGTTGGGGGTACTGCTAGCTGGGGGCTCCCTGTGGCACCCCAGACTCGCACATGAGGCCGGCCGCTTCCCCGTCTCCCTTCCCTCGGGACCATTCTGGCCTGGTTCTCTGTCCTCTAGTTCTCCTCCGTAATTACTCCCCACCCCCCTTCTTTGGCCAAGTTCTTGATGAAATGTGGAACCGATGCTTCTAAGTGATAGATCGAGACGGGTTTCCACAGCAGGCGCCCACAAGAAGCAAAGAAGCTGATTGATGCCAACCCAACTGCAGTAGCTAGGAAAGCAGTGGTAAAAACGCCAGGGCAGATATTTGTATTTATCAACTTGACAACTTTTTTTTTTTTTTCCCTGACTGCAAGCTGTAGCTAAGGTTTGAACTGACGGCTGTGGTCCAGGATCACAAGAGAGATGAGGCTGGATTTTTAAAATAATAATAATAATAGAAGTTGGTGCTAGAAAACTCTTTAGAAGTGCCCCATCAGTACAGCCAAAGAGAAAATGGGAAAGAAAGAACTCACAGAAGAGCGATGTTGACATTGAAAAAAAAAAAATGAGGTGGAATGGAAGAAAAATGGTCATTGAACTCCTGTGCGTTCAGACACACCCGGAAGAAGGGGGGGAAAAAAATCAGAGAAAATGGTGGGTGAGAAACACATAGAGGAATCTAGACCTTGCCGCTGATGTACGTGGGGTGGCAAGGTGGATAGGTAGGCTTGGGGGACAAAAACCGAGAATCGTCATTGTAGAAATAACCCATTTGGGAAGTAGAGGGAGAAGGGACGGAAGTAGTCGACAGAAACGGAGAGACAAATGGATTCATTCACAGATGTAATTCCTCAGCGTGTTCGATGTGTCATTAAGCCAAGTGTGGAAATTGGTTTCACGGTGATGGGCGGTTAAAAAAAAAAAAGGGACAACAAACGCTGGGGGACGCGGTCCAGCGTGGTGTCACTGTGAGCGGTGGGTGTGTCCACTGTGGTCAGCTGATCCAGGGATGTCTGAAGGGTCACATGACTTGTCACACGTATGGGGGGGGCTGTGGCCCCAGGCCGAGGCTCCATTTCGGGGTCTGCGGAGCGTCCCCTGTCCCCACCCCTCCCCCACAGCCGGCTCTCTGATGATGAGGACTCTGAGTGCCTGGTATTTTTCCACCCCCAAAATTGATCGAAGCCAGGGTGAGGATTGCTAGGCCACAACCCGAAGGAGGAAGGAAGAGTCAGAGAAGAATGGACAGGAGAATGTTTGTTTTTCGTTTTCCCTTTTTAACAAGCAAATGGAGATAGATTTCCTATTATAAAGGACTTTTCCCGGAAGACAAGGTATCTTACTGAAAACACACACACACACACACACACACACACACACACACACACACACACACACACACACACACACACACACACACACACACACACACACACACACACACACACACACACACACACACACACACACACACACACACACACACACACACACACCCCTAGAGTCCCAGATGGCTGGTTTTAGGATACTTAACACATTGTGCTTTTTTTTTTGTCAGTCGTGAGGCTTGAACTCTGGGCCTGGACACTGTCCCTCAGCTCTTCAGCTCAAGGCGAGCGCTCTACCACTTGAGCCACAGCGCCACTTCCAGTTTTCTGGTGGTTCATTGTTGATAAAGAGCCTCACGGACGTTCCTGCCCGGGCTGGCTTTGAACCGTGATCCTCAGATCTCAGCCTCCTGAGTAGCTAGGATGACAGGTGTGAGCCACCGGTGCCTGGCCCATTGTGCTTTTTTTTTTTTTTTAAACCCGAGGATGACTTCGGGATGTACTGACTAAAATCTGGACAAAACACATCAATCTTCTCTACTACCCAGAAATGTTCCTTCCACTCCACAGATCACAAGTGGAGTGGGTTGACTATGTGAACACGTAAGAATGAGGGGGTTTCTCGTTAGTAGGGGTGGACAAAGGACAAAGAGAGATCTCTCCCTTGCTAGGCAGTGGGACAAGTGTCTTTTAGGCTCCTGACAGCTCTGGGATTGGGGATTGGTGACCATGAGCTTTAGAGTTAACCTACCCTTGGGTCAAGAGAGCTGAGGTGTTTCCACAGTGATAATCTCCCGCCAGGGGTGGCTGAGAGAGTAGAAGATCCGACGGCAAAGTGGTAGGCCCAGCTCTGTGGCTAGCTCTGTGATCAGTAGGGACTCCCTGACCGATGGACTCATGACCATGATCAGCACAATTGTTCTGGGAAGTCTTAAGGGGGGGAGGAGGGGGTGCTTAGGAAGAGGAAAAGAGGTGGAAGGAGGGGGGTCGGGTAGTGAGGGACCTAAGGCACGGAGGGTTGTGAGAGTTACGGTTAGAATGACTACCTTGTTATTTGAGATCAAGGGCTTTTAGCGATGTGTGCTAAGCTATCCTATAGGAGTTCTATAGGAACTAATTAAACAACCTAGAAGCTAATTAAACAACCTAGAATGTGCTGTAAATGAATGGTGTGCAAGTGAAGACGGGGATGAGGATGGATGGGGAGAAGGAACCAGAGGTAATGAGCTTTAGAGATATTGGTCTCAGCCGGTGTGGTGAAAGAGCGATTCCCGGAAGAAACACGGGGGGGGGGGGGGCTCTCTTATCTCTGTGCTCTAGGTCAAGATTGTGTGTGTGTCACTCTGCGCCCAAATGGGGGGGGGGAGGGGGGAAGGGGAAGGGGAGTAAGTCCGCTTTTCTCATCAGGAGAGGTTGGCCACCGAGCTGGCTCCTAGATGGAGGTGTGTGTGCACGCGTGCCGTGTGACAGGCAGGGGCTTTGGTTGTCACCAAAGTCCTTTCACTGGAAACCGAGAAGGCTGCCTGGAGCCCAGGAAGTGGTGACTGGCTACCACGTCCGTTCAGAATACATGTCCTAATGGCCAGGTGCATGCAACATGCATAGAATCTCACACACACACACACATACACACACACACACGTTCCAGCTTGGGATGATACCCCTAACCTCCAGACCCCTCTCCTGAAGCACCACATGCCTTTTCTCAAATCCCAGGAGATGATGAGTGAAGGGGAAGGAGGGAGGGAGGGAGGGAAGGAAGGAAGGAAGGGAGGGAGGGAGGGAGGGAGGGGGAAGGAGAGGAAGGGGGGAAGGAGAGGAAGGGGGGAAGGAGAGGAAGGGGGGAAGGAGAGAAAGAGGGGAAGGAGAGAAAGAGGGGAAGGAGAGGAGGAGGAGGAGGAGGAGGAGGAGGAGGAGGAGGAGGAGAAAAATGCCACGGGCTAGCCGGAACAGGTCATTTGTCTTCTGGCTCACCGTGTTTCTGACTACATCCCACATCAAGCTTGTTCCTGCGCCACTTGCCAGTGAGCAGTTTTTAATTATCAGGAAAGCGGTATTTAGTGCGATGAATCACCAGACAGTGAACAAGGAAACAAGTCGGTGGCAGAGCCGGGTAGAGCCAAAAGCGGGGAGACGGAGCTGGGGGGGATGTACTCATGCGCCCAGTGTTGGGGGAATATTGTTGGTGGCAGCCATCGTCATATCAGATGGGATGCATCTCCATAACACAAGGCAGGTTTGTTTTTCACACTCATCTATACAGTGCTTCACACCACGGCTAGTGTAAACTGTCTGCTATTAATTTTGGTATCAATAGCCGCCATACTCCCCTACCACTGGCCCAGGAGTGGTCTTTATGGATTTGAACTTCTGGTGGCTAAGTGTCTTGAGAAAAGGGGGGAAAAAATCCTCTTCGGTTTTTTACAATCATCTCGTGGACTCATTTCTGTGACGGGTGTAATTTGCACACGTAGCCCTTGGGCCTCACGACCAACTCAAGTGTGCTGGGGTCACGAATGTGGCTGGGGTCACAGCGTGTATAACCGAGAGAAAGAGCCAGAGAAAGGGACAGAGGTTGGGGGGAGCGAGAGAGAGTGGGGGGGAGGGGAAGACTGCATTCACAGGAGAATCTGCAACTCTTAAACATGAACCAAGGCTTTCCATGTCTTAAGGCTTGGAGAGAATCGGTCTAGCTGCCCTCTGGGGCTCTCCAGCAGGACACGGAGCAGTTCTAGAAGCAGAGGAGACTACCTCCCATTGTTAGAGGCCCTGGGCTCAGCGGGTCAGGGTTATTTTCCAAAAGGAAGCGCTCAGGATGACCGGTGGGGTGGGGTGGGTGGAGACGCTGGAAGTCTCATGAGAACCATCTAGAAAACCAGTGAGGTCACTGGACAGTGGCCGGGAGGGAGCTGGGCAGAGCGGGTGTGGCTGTAGGCACGCCTGCTCTCCCAGCTGGCAGGTGCTTGTCTTGGATTTAGGGCGGAGGGGGGTTAAAAGCTAAAAGGGGGAAGATGGCCGGCCCTCTGCAGGCCCCTCATGCTTGGGAGTACGCAAAATCAATACCCTGGACAGCTGGGGACCGAAGGGGAGGGAGGGGACACAGCTGATCACAGGTTCAAGGGCGCAAGGAAGAGCCAGGTGGACTGGGGGGACGGGGCAGGGGGCGGGGCAGGGGGCGGGGATTCCCAGGACCCCAGGGGACAGCTTCTCAGAAGGAGCCCATTCGGCTCTTCTCCTCTCCATCATGGAGAGGAAATACTCAGCAGAACAGCGCCCAGTAAGGTGGGTGCGGGGTGTAGACACAGAATCAGACTCGGCCTATTGTGGCCTTACGCCCCAGGTCACACTGGACCTCACGAAACACAGCCATTTCCTCTGCCAAGACTGGTTCACGTTCCCCGATCCCTGCCTGAGTCCCTTCAGCCCCTAACACTGGCTGTTCCAAGTCCCCTTCCTCACGGATTGGGACTTGTCATTCTTCAGACAGACAGGCCAGTCTCCTCAGGACAGGGGAACGGGAGCCCCGGGGCTAAGAGGGTCATTCTAGGAGTGTCCTTCCCAGCACACAGGACATGGGTTGGGATGTCGCTTCTGAGCTGAACCTTCGTCAGGGAACCACCCGGGCAGACAGACCCGGACGTCTGAAACTTGGACGTACAAATCGTTCATTCTCACCCAGCAGATTACCTGTCCTCTCCAAGGCTTTGCGTTTAAAAAAAAAAATTGTTTTTTAAATGCGAAACTTAGTCTTGGGGCTGATTCCGTGTAGGGGAAGCATTTCATACGAGTCCTTGCTCAAGTGTTATTAGGGGCAGGATCTTTCGGTCATGATGTTGAGCGTTTGCTCAACTAAATAACAAGATTTTTTTCCCCCCTCAGATGGATGAATTGGGACTCAGCCTCCTCTTTGCATTGTTTCGTTTCCCTTTTTTTTTCCCTTCTTTTTTTTTTTTTTGGTTTGAACCTAAACACTAGGTTCCAGATTTATCCCGCTACCATTCCCGTCTTGCAGATTTCAAATTAGCATTCAAAGCTGCTGGCTGGTTCTGAATTTTGATTCCGTCTTTTGACGGTGTTAGTTCTGCTTCCCAACTGTTACCTACAAACTCCAGCAGCAGCGCTCGGCGCTCGGCGGCCGTCCAACTCACCCAGTTAAAAACAAAAAGCAAAACAATAACACAAATGAGAGGTTGAACAGGACGCGGGTTAGCGCTAGGGCCTCCCTTCCTGGCTGAAGGAACTACTCACTCACTTTCTTTTCGGATGGAGACAAAAATCTGTATCCGGTTAACAATATTTTCCCTCAGGAGACTATTTTATATCTAGATAGATAGAAAGATAGATAGCTAGATAGACAGACAGACATAGATATCTCCAAGATGAAGCCTACAGCCTCTTTGAGCCTTTGGTAGTGGATTGAACTCCCACTGCGGCCTTCTCCCTGCCCTGCTCTCCTCTTGCCCCGGCCTGAAGAGCAGGGGCTGCCCTCTGAAGTCTTTGGCTACATCGTCCATTTGTTTGGGCTGTCTTCCATCAAAACCTGAGCAAGTGGCCCTGTGGTGGCCTCTCCACACAAGCGATTTCGTGAGGGAGCTGCTCTCTGAAGGCCCTTCGCTCACTCACAACTCCCTGTTATCCCCAGGTCACCCAGCCCCGGACACACCCCACTCAACTCCGAGCATCAGGCAGGCAGACACACCAATCACTAGAAGGCACGTGGCGCCCGAAGAAGGTCCACGAGCCACGCCCCCTCCCCGACTGCATTTCCCGACGTCCAGTCGACGATCACGTTCTGAGAGGTTACTCAGCCTGGCCTGGCCTGGCCTGGCCTGCCAGATCACCCTGTCTAGGTAAAGTCTGGATCAGCCATCGTGTTCTAAGGGACGGACCCGGAAGGCATGTGATTGCTGACGTCCTCCAGCCTTGAACCCAGGACCCAGGCTGTTGGTTTGGGTACGGTCTCTTTCCAAACCCACTTGGAGGGGGGTTCCTTCCAGGACCTGCGGTGGAGGCAGGACGCAGGGCCTGGAGACCTCATTATGTTCTCAGCTCTGTCCCCCCCCACTCTGCACCCTCTCCCCCCACAAACCGGTCAGGGAAGGAGAGGCAGCACACTTTCTCAGAGCCTGTGGTCGCTGGTCCCAACCACTCAGGGGCAACTCTGGGTGCCATGACGGACGCACACACCCACCACCAGGAATTCCCCAGCCTTCCGCTTTCTAGAGTAGAGCCGGGGGGGGGGGGGGGGGGGGGGAGATTCACCAAAACCAACCAGGACGTCAGGGGTCGGCGTTGGGGCTGCTCCTCCCCGGCACCCTGCCCCCCCTGACCCTCCCCCCTTCCCCTCCCTCCCCGGCCACAGGACTCTTGCACATGCGTTTCTATCTACTGGAGACCAGGGGGTGGGGGCAGGATGGCTGTACGATGACCCAGGAGGAAGAGGAGGGTATGGACCACCCATCCTTGGAGACTGAGAGCCACAGCTGCAGAATGCCCTTTGCGTAGCTCGAACCAGCTACTGTCTTGCTACAACATAGATTCCCTGAAGGCCCAGCGACCGCTATGAACAATATCACTTTCCCGTCTCAGGCGGCCTGGGATAAAAGAAATAATCTGGTCCGTGAAAACTTTGGCCTACGGAGTCCATTTTTGCTCCTAGGAAACGCAATCGGGCGAGGACAGGCTTTGCCCGTGTGTGTGGCTCTGGGATCTGTTTCTCTGGCTCATGGTCTCCTGTCAAACGATCGGGAAGAAAGGGGAGAACACTGCGGATGGAGTAGTGGGTGTATGTGTGTGTGTGGGGAGAGCTGAGATGTTCCTTACCAAGGAAGCCTGCCAGAGGGCAGAGCCCCGGAGTGCTAGGACAGATCCCGGGGGCCTTCCGTGAGATCCAGAAGGAGCGATTTAGAAATAGAGTGAGAGCCAGGCGCCCGTGGCTCACGCCTGTCATCCTGGCTACTCAGGAGGCTGAGATCTGAGGATCGTGGTTCGAAGCCAGCCCGGGCAGGAAAGTCCGTGAGACTCTTATCTCTAAAGAACCACCAGAAAACTGGTAGAGCGCTCGCCGTTGAGCAAAAGAAGCTCAGAGACCTGGAGTTCAAGCCCTGTGACCGACCAAGGAAACAACAACAAAACAGCGCGAGCGAGTCCGCTGGACGGGTCTGAGCAAGCAGGGAGACGGGGGGGGGGGGGGGGGGGGGGGGGAAGGGGGGCACAGGTGCGGGAGGACCTGTTTGGGAGCTTGCAAAACCATCTGCCATACGGAGGAAGGAATGACCGGGGCACAGAGCTTTATGATGTAATGATGCACCTGGGAGAGAAACTGTAGCCATAAAGAAAAAACCCACTTCATCCACAGGTTATTTAAAAAACAAACACAAAACCAAGAGCATGGGAGGACAGGGTAAGGCCAACTTTGAACGGGCACCGTTTAAGAAGAAAACACTTCGGGGGCTGGGAAGGTGGCTCAGCGGTAGAGCGCTTGCCTTGCATGCATGAGGCCCTGGGTTCGATTCCTCAGCACCACATAAGCAAAAAGAAAAAAGCCAGAAGTGGTGCTGTGGCTCAAGGGGTAGAGCGCTAGCCTTGAGCTGAAGAGCTGAGGGACAGCGCCCAGGCCCAGAGTTCAGGCCCTATGACTGGACCCAAAAAAAAAAAAAAAGAAGAAAACACTTGGGGAGACATTCCGGCGGGCGCTCGGGGCCTCCGCGGGCTCTCGGCATCTTTCAATTCCCCCGTTCCTGTACTGCGGCTTATCTGTGAGTTGGGTGAGCACACTCCCCCCAGCCGCTCAGTTGCATAAGATAAGGCAGACGGCCTTCGCGGAGAACCCTCCATCTTTCTTTCCCCCACTGAGTCTGATTTTCAGGATTCATTGACTTTGCTAAACCCAACCTGTGGGTTTTTTTTTTAACCCTTAGAGTTCCAGATGGGGCTTGTCCTTGCAGAAGGTAATCCGGCCCATCAGGAGTCCAACGAGTACCTCGGAAAAGACACAGGGCAAGATGGGAAACCTGCAGGGACGGGGAGCGACCACGAGGGCCCTGGGTGGCTGGACCGGCTGCTGGTCTGCTGCACCGATCTCTGTGCACGCTAGCCTGCTGGTTTCTGGCTGTGTGTGTGTGTGTGTGTGTGTGTGTGTGTGATTCCTACTCACCTCGGCCCGTGCTGTAATGCTGGAGTTTATCGCTGTACACGGCCTCTTTGCTGTAAGCCCGTTTCCTGCAGATACACAGAAGGGGGGCGGGGTTCAACTCGGGGTGCTCTATCCAGATATCAAGGCCGGCGGACGGGCTCACCCTGGGGGGTTTACGTTCCACTCCTGCCCGGGCCAGCTTTCTGGCGGCCCCCCCACCCCCCTGCGCCCATTCCTGTGGACAGATACATTCTGCCTTCAAGTCGAGGCCTGGTATAAGCCTACAAGAGCGCTGGCCATTGGGGAAGCAGCCAGCACGCACCGGGCTGCAGCATTCAGCGTTCGTTAGGCCTTCAGGCTGGTGTCTGTGCAGGGCTCATTCCCGTTGGCGTTCCCTCCCGCCCGCCGTCTGCCAGCGGCTGCGGGCCTAGAGCCTGGGCGGGGATGGGGCGGGGGGGGGGGGGTGTCCTCAGGATCAGAGGGGTCCCGGGGGACGGCCCACCTGCTGCAGACGATGGCGATGGCCACCAGCGAGACAATGAACACCACCCCAGCCGCCGCCGAGCCCGCGATCAGGGGCAGCTGCTCCCTCAGCTCCGACTTGTAATCGTCTAGGGGAGAGAAGCTGCAGTGAGCATCCCGGCCTGCGCCTCCTTCCTCCACGCCGACGCCCGACGCCGTAATGCGCAGGTAGGACTGGCACGCTGCGCGCCCGCGCTCCGCCGCTGGACCAGAGCCAAGAGTAAGCTCTGGTCTTTCTGAACTCAGGGCTCTGGGTGTTGTCCCTCCCCCCCCCCCCCCCCACCACCGTGGCTGGCGCGCTACCAGCCACCTGGGCCACACCTTCACGTCTGGCTTTGCTTTTCTGGTGGTTCACTGGAGATACTATTCTCACGGGGCTGGAGCGGGGAGGATTTGGTGCACGGTGGGGCTGGGTTTGACCCGTGATCCTCAGCTCTCAGCCTCCTGAGTGGCTGGGATGACGGGTGTGAGCCACGGGCGCCTGGCACGGAGAGTCATCTTTTAAGTCACCAGCAAAGCCCAACGACAACCGGCTCTAAATGACAACAACAGCTGTGGAAACTGAGCAGCTTTGACAGACGGGTTCTGAGAATGAAGGGCGGATTGCGTTCCTCTCTGTGGGGGTGGGGGGGAGTGGGGGGGGAGTGGGGGAGGGGAAGAGGAGAGGGGAAAGAAAAAGAGGATGAGGGGGAAGAGGAAGAAGGGTAGAAGGCGGAAGAGGAGGAAGAGTAAAAGCAGGACAAGGAGGAAAAAGAGAAGAGGAAAAGACGGAAGAGGGGAAGAGGAAGAGAAGGGGAGGGGGAGAGGAAGAGGAGGGGGAAGAAGAAGAGCAGAAGGAGGAAGAGAATGAGGAAAAGCAGGAGGAGGAGGGAAAAGGAGGGAAAGAAGGAGGAGGGGAGGGGGAAGAGGAGGGGGAAAAGAAGAGCAGAAAGAGGAAGAGGAGGGGGAAAAAGAAGAGCAGGAAGAAGAAGAGGAGGGGGAAAGGAAAAGGAAGGAAAGAAGGAGGAGGGGAAGAGGTGAGGGGGAAGGGGAAGATAAGGGGAAGAGGAATGGGAAAGAAGAAGAGCAGAAAGGAAGAAGAAAAGCAGCAGGAGGAGGAACAAGAGGAAGAAAAGGCGGAGGAGGCAAAGAGGAAGAGAAGTAAGAGAAAGAGGAGAAAGAGGGGAAAGGGGAAGAATAGGAGGAGGAGAAGGAGGAGGAAGAAGAGGGAAAGAGGTGGGAGGAAGGGGAAGAAGAGAAGAGGAGGAAGGAGGAAGAGGAGGAAGATGACAATGACAACCACGGAGTCCTTCACACTGCCTTTATCAGATCAGTCCCATCTGTTTAAGGAAACCTTATGAAGCCACGTGAAACCCCACCGGCATCAAAAGCAGCCCGTGCCAAGTCAAATGTCAGCACGCTGGCCAAGAGCGGGCCGGTGGCTGGGATCGAGGTGGCCGTCACCAGTTCTGAGTGTGGGCAGTGACCGTGAGTGGGGACCACACGGGCCCACCCCGACCCTGCCATCCGCCGTGGACCACCGCTCAGCCCTCAGACTTTCCTCCGTGGGCTGCAGCCAGGCCTGGGTAAGCCCCGGCAAACAGGATTGCCACCCCCGTGTGAGCGTCTGTCATGAGGACAGAGGCTCCTCAGTTTGGCCACTTACCACGGCTCTCTGAGCTCTCTGAGCCCCCCTCTGGGGTCTGCGGAAACTTAACTGTCAAATGCAAAGGAAAAAAGAAAAAGGAATAGCTTTCTTGGGAGCAATTCTTGATTTGTCTAATAGAACTGCCAAGGGAGGCCAGCCGCGCAGAGCAGGTTGGAGAGTTTGGGGCTTTGAACCCTACCTAGTATTCCTTGAGCCACAGTGCCTATAAATCTGGACGGTGAATGAGGGGACTTGGTCCTTTGGGGAAAAGCAGATGGTTCTGTGCTCTTCCCTCCCCCAGGAGCCACTGTTAATCTCCAGGAACTGGCTCACCGTTCTTACACCTCTTCTTACCCTCCTCAGAATACAAGGGGGAAAGAGAAAGAATGTGCCCCAGATAAACTCAGAATGGGGTGCGGATGTCAACGCTCTAGAGATAAAGGGGGCAAAGCAGCCAGGTGAGCGGCTGGGAGAGATCAGCTGTCAGTGTTTCCCGGTCAGACGTGATACCAGCAAAACATCCACCATCACTGGCTGCTCTTGGAATTAGGCGCATTGGATTTTTAGATGGTCTCTAATCAGCATTAAAAAAAAAACAAAAAAAAAAAACCAAAACCACAAATGCCAAGTACTTAAAAAAAAAAGTGTGAGTCAATATAAAAGTCTTATCAGGTACCCAGTCTATCAGCAGCGGCCTAAAATAGAACTCTATGTGAAAACAGCTTTAAAAAAAAAAAAAATCCCCCTTTGTAAGTTAACTAACAAAAGGAAAAAAAAAAAAAAGACTTCCGATTTGGGAGGCGTCAGGAAATAAGACTCACATTGGGAAAAGCTCTCTGCAAACGGCTCCTAAAGAAGGAAGGAAGGAATGGATGAATGGATGGATGGATGGATGGATGGATGGATGGATGGATGGATGCATGAATGCAGATAGGTAGGTATGTGCTAGATAAATGAATGCACCAACTATGGAGAAGAGAAGACAGAGAGGTGCACCTGTGCATGGCGCAAAGGCTGCTGGGAGATCAGATCATCGGGGTTGATGAAGAAGGGAGTCTTGAGGTCTAGGGAGCACAGCTCTGACCAGGGATGGGGATGAATAAAGGACCCGTCCTCCCCCGCTGCCGGGCCTCACCGTCGGTCAGTGTCTGGAAGCACATCTTGCCGCTGAACTTCCCGTAGCCGGCCACGTTCCGGGCGCGCACCTGGACCACGTACACCATGCCCGGCCGCAGCCCGTCGATGCGGGCCGTGTTGGTCTGGCTCCTGGCCATGGAGGAGTTGAACTCGTTGTGCTCCTAGCAGAAGAGTGGGAGGAAGTTCGTCACCGGCCAGCTCCCCAGGGCCGTATCAACCCCGCCCGCCCGGCCGGCGCTACCCCGGATGCTCAGCCCGCCCTTGGTCCTGACAGATCTACGAGAACTGGTCTCCCTCTTGGTCGGCCTTGTCTCTGCTCTGCCCACGCAGCCGATGGCGTTGTAGACGGTCCCCCCCACACACACGCGCACACTTGTGTCTTTCCTGTGCTTTCCACTCTGACCTCTGTAGGCCCATTCATTTATGGACCCTCTGGGGTGCACAGACTTGATAGGATATATGGTGGCTTGTTGTTGTTGTTGTTTGGTTTAGTTTTGCTAGTCCGGGGGCTTGAACTCAGGGCCTAGGAACTGTCCCTGAGCTCCTCTTTGCCCAAGGCGAGCACTCTACACACTTTGAGCCATAGCTACACTTTCTGGCTTCCTGGTGGTTCAGTGGAGGCCAGAGTCTCACAGAGTTTCCGGCCGGGCTGGCTTCGAACCAAGATCCTCAGGTCTCAGCCTCCTGAGATCACAGGCCAGTGACAGTTGCAGGGGTGAGCCACCAGCGCCCGGGTAGAAACGCTCATTTTCAGTGCTTTGCCTATGCCAGGATGGCCTGGTGTGCATCCATATCTGTGATTCATCTGTGAGTCAGTCAGTGAGCCAGACAGGCGGTTAAATGGATGATTCGAGAGTATTCCTGGATGCTGTACTTGAGTGTGAATACAAAGGAGGTGCGCTCTCTCTCTCTCTCTCTCTCTCTCTCTCTCTCTCTCTCACACACACACACACACACACACACACACACACACACTTCTGAGCTAGACGGGTGGATTGGAAAATGAACAGGAGTTGACACAACATTGGTTGAACAAAATACAAAATACAAGCCCGTATTTTGAAGGAGATCTGATCCAAGGACCCTGGGGGAGAGGGGGGAGGGGGAAGAGGGGGGAGAGTAGCACACACAAGAGAACGCTCAAATGCGAGACCCAGAGGGGTCCTTCTGTAATTCACACGCAGCGTCAGGGGACGCGGGTTCAGGGCCACCTCCGGCCGACAGTCAAAAGCGAGGAAAAGACCCATCGTCACTACACACTGGCCCTTTAAGAGACTGCCAGGGGGTAGACTGTCCGCCCATCATCTGATCTACCCGAGCAGTGAGCAGTCCCCAGCCCCACTGCTGCTGGGCCAGGTCGGCAGAAAGAAATCGGTTCACCACGGAGAAAAGGTCGCCTGGACGATTCATCACTAGTTTGATATCCCGGAGACCCAAGATTTCCAAACTGGGAAAATCACCTCGTGGCCACCCCTTGCCAAGGAGAACACAGTTCCCAGCACACAAGCGAGCAGGGCACTGCTGGGAATGAGATGGATGGAGGACCAGACACCGCTTCGAGACAGACCAAGCACTGGCTCAGTAGCTTTCACTTTAAAAACAAAACAAGTAAAAAAACAAAAACCATCATGCTCTGATATACTGGCATTTGGATCACCAGGGCCTAGCGTCAGCTCGTAATCTCCGGACGGTCTATACATTCGGAGGAAGTCGAGTGATTAAAACGAGGATCAGTCCTGGCTGCCCACAAACTCATCCATCAGTTCCGGGCAGATGAGTCTGAGCGATTGGCCGGGTTGATCATCTAATCAGAGTCGGAGGGTGTGGCTGGTAAGGGCTGGCCACCGTTCCATCTCCCTTAGCCCTCCATTCCCCGCCCCCCACCCGGCCCCCATACAAGCCCTCCCACACCTCTGTGCTAAGTGAACGAGCCAATGGCACGCTGCAGTCGTTATTTAAACCCATCAGCCGAGCACAAGATAGTGCCACGGTCGAAATGGATTTCTATGGGGGGGGGGGGGGAATGATCTTGACACTTAAAAGAGGGTAACTCTTCCCCCTCCCCCATCTAAGCCAACCCAGCTTAGCCTGGACCGCTTTCTGCCAAGTGCCCTGTGAGATGCAAACACTTCATCATCAAGACAGCGGAGAGCAGATGTAGATGGCCCTTCCCCGGTTTGCCTACAAGCGTTGACACCAGGAGTGAAAAGTGCTACCAGACAGTAAACAAGAGCGGATGATGAATGGGGCTGGGTGCCAGTGAGGAGAAGCTGGGGGGGGGGGGGGGGGGAGGCGTCACCAGCTCGGTAGCATCTGAGCTCTCCATTAATGAGCTGCTGGGAAGTGACGGCCCAGTGGGCCAGCTTCCCTGTGTTCTACATACAGCGCTACCGGGGGCCGGGACATGCCCCCTGTGCTGGCATTGCCCGTCACTGCCCTCCCCCCGGAGCTGGGCGGGGAGCGGGAGGGGAGGAGGAGGCAGAGGATGAAGGCAAGGTGACTCTGGATGCAATCTGGGACGTGTTGTGAGCTGGATTCGACTCACATTTGCGTTTTCTGAGGATCGGGATTCCGCGGGCCTGGGGGGCAGGCCTGCGGCGGCCCCTTGCTACAAGGACCTGGATTGAATATGAAGATGTAATGGCTACTCTTTATTTGGTCAGTTATGGGACTTGAACTCAGGACCCGGGCGCTGTCCCGGAGTTTTTGTTTGTTGTGTGTTTTGTTTTTTTCACTCAAGGTGAGCGCTCTACTACTTTGAGCCACAGCGCCACGTTCAGTTTTCTGGTGGTTAAATGGAGGTAAGAATCTCACGGACTTTCCTGCCCGGGCTGGCTTTGAACCACCGATTCCTCAGATCTCAGCCTCCTGAGTAGAACTCCCTAGCGGGGTGCGAGGGGGTGACCTGTAGGGAGATGGCTGGGTCATTTAACCTTTCTGCTTTATTGTCTATAAATTGGAGCTATGTCTGGTTAAGTGTGTTTCTTTTTTTTTCCTCTTCTTTTTAAGGATCCAACTAATACATATAATATATATACACATATATGTATATGTATTTCAGATAGATAGATAGATAGATAGATAGATAGATAGATAGATAGATAGATAGATGTGTATCCGAAACAGACTAGCTATTGGATAGTGTGACCAATTCTCACTGTGGTTATTTGAACACACTTCACAGGCTAGGGTCTTTTTTCCTTAAAAGTCACGTTGGACGTGGTCAAGGAAACATAATGAATTTCATCGCGGAGCACTTTGTACACGAAGGAGAAAGGTCTCCGGCCCCGTGCTGAATGGTAACCAGGGCACTGATAGAACATCTTCTCAGTCGCCAAGGGAAGCGCTCTGCTCCCTGGAACCCGGTCAGGAACGCACGGCCCCGGGGATGGGCGGGGCATCTGGGGCATTTGAGTGGTGTGGGCGGGGCATCTGAGTGGCGTGGGCGGGGCATCTGAGTGGCGTGCACGCGTGCTACTGACTGGCAGGGATTAATGAGCTGGCTTCCTCTTTTCACAGCGCGAGGGGCTGAGTCTCTCGGTGGTGTGGATTTCACAGTGGAGCCACTGGAACAAGTCACGTGGCTTCCATCCTGGGTCTGGTGTTGAGCCCGTGACTTTGTGCCGCTCTACCTGCTGAAGTGGAGTCTGTGGGGGCCGGTGGGTAGACAAGGAGCAGGTGGTCCCCAATACATTCCACCCCTTCCCCCCGCTCTGCCACCTGCTCAGATGAGTCACCGGCTCCTATCTCAGCTGTGTGACATGACAGAAGCATCTGTCTATCTGTCCGTAGCCGGAACCGTGGTATTTTCTGCGGTGGACTGTGATCCCGTCATCACAGCTACTCGGGAGGCTGAGAGCAGAGGCTCACGGTTTGAAGCCAGCTCCGGGCAGGAGAGTCTGCGAGACTCGTCTCTCCGCTAAACTTACTCAGAAAAAGCCAGAAGGGGTGCCGTAGCTCAAGTGGTAGAGCGCTAGCCTGGAGCACGGGGCGGCTCGGGGACAGCGCCCAGGCCCTGAGTTCAAGCCCCAGGTCCTGGCAAAAGAAAAAGTCCGTCTCCTGAGGACAGAAATCATCCAGATATTAGGTACCCAATCAGTAAATAAACCTGCTGAGCACACTGTGAGTGTGTGTGTGTTCGGTTAGTACAGAAAGCACTGTATTTTCCTAGGATTGTGGCACACTCTGTAGTTCATGGTGGTGGAAGCGAGGCCCCGAATCCCTTGTGGACAGGCTGGTTCGGTGCCATTTTCTTGGCCCACATTGGTCCTGCCACAGCCCCTTCCTCAACTGCTGCTCCGAAAGCTGTGATGTGTTCATTCCCTTTCTTTTTGCACGCAAACAAGCTACAGACAGACTGACACGTGACTCCCAAACTTAAAATCGCTGTCCTGTACAAAAGCACGTGCGTGCATGCGCGCACACACACACTCACACACGGTGGGTTCTAGGTCTTTCACACCTACAAGCGGGGGCCCGGCTCACCTTCTCGTAGTACCGGATCTCGTAGTCCAGGATGATACCATTGGGCTGCTCGGGCTGCGGCCATGACAGTGTGATGCTCCTCATGGTGGCGCTGACCTGGTGCATGATGGGAACGGTGGACGGGGCTGTGGAGAGAGGGAGAAACGGAGCCGCTGAGCAGGTGCTCTCACCGCGGGCCGAGGGGGCCGCCTTTCGGCTGTACGCAGGGAGAGAGATGCCATTCGATTTGAACTCTGACCTTTCCACCGCCCCCCAGTCTAGCTGGAGCTGCGAGAATGGCTGGTGGGTTTTGCAGACCGCATGGTGTTTGGAGAATAGAGGAGGGGAAAATGACCGCTTGGGCGTGGGGGAATACACAGAGACTGCCATGGTTGTATGTTCATGACAGAGAAGAGAAAGAGGGGTCCAAAACCAGCAGGGGTGGAGGAATAGGGGGAGAAACAGAAGACGGAGAAGGAGAAGGAGAGGAAGAAGAAGAAGAAGGAGAAGAAGGAGAAGAAGAGGAGAAGAAGAAGAAGAAGAAGAAGAAGAAGAAGAAGAAGAAGAAGAAGAAGAAGAAGAAGAAGAAGAAGATAGAAGAAGGAGAAGAAGAAGAAGATGAAGTAAGAAGAAGAAGAAGAAAGGATGAAGAAGAGGAAGAAGAAGGATGAGGGGGAGGAGGGGGAGGGGAGGAGGGAGGGAGGAGGAGGAGGAGGAGGGGAGGGGAGGAGGGGTGGAGGAGGAGGAGGAGGGGAGGAGGAGGGAGGGAGGAGAGGGGAGGAGGAGGAGGGAGGAGGAGGGGGAGGGAGGAGGAGGGAGGAGGAGGAGGGGAGGGAGGGGAGGAGGAGGGGGAGGAGGGGGGGAGGGGAGGAGGGGAGGGGGAGGGGGGGAGGAGGGGGAGGGAGGGGGGGAGGAGGAGGGGGGAGGGGAGGAGGGGGAGGGAGGAGGGGAGGAGGGGAGGGGGAGAGGAGGAGGAGGGGGGAGGGGAGGAGGAGGAGGAGGAGGAGGGGAGGGGAGGAGGGGGAGGAGGGGAGGAGGGGAGGGGGGAGGAGGAGGGGAGGGGGGAGGGAGGGGGAGGGGAGGAGGAGGTGGGGGAGGGGGAGGGGGGAGGGGGGGAGGAGGGGGAGGAGGAGGAGGGAGGGGTGGGGTGGAGGGTGGGGAGGGGAGGGGAGGGTGGAGGGAGGAGGTTGGGGTGTGAGGAGGGTGGAGGGAGGGAGGGGAGGTGGAGGGGGAGGAGGTGGAGGTGGAGGTGGGGGTGGGAGGGGTGGAGGAGGAGTGGAGGAGGTGGGGGGAGGAGGAGGGGGAGGAGGAGGTGGGTGGTGGTGGGAGGTGGGGTGGAGGGGGAGGGGGAGGGGGTGGGGGGGGAGGGAGGTGGGGAGTGGAGGTGGAGGAGGAGGGGGGGTGGTGGGGAGGGGGAGGGAGGAGGGGGGGTGGAGGTGGAGGAGGAGGAGGGGAGGAGGAGGGGAGGGGAGGGAGGGAGGTGTGGGGGTGGAGGGGGGAGGAGGAGGGGGAGGGGAGGGGGTGGTGGAGGGGGGAGGAGGGGGAGGAGGGGAGGAGGAGGGGGACGGGGGGGAGGAGGAGGGGGAGGGGGGGAGGAGGAGGAGTTGTGAGATACTGGGTGGAAGGTTCTGGGTGTGTGGATGGTGGTGAGCTCTTACAGAGACGGGAGAGTAGTGGTGAGGGCAGCAGAGCTCAAGCGTCCGCTGCAGAAGTTACGGTGCAGTAGAAAGGAACATTCTAGCAAACATTGCTTTCTGGTCCTGCATCAAAGGTGTCCTCAAGGAGTCCAGGAACAGAAAACCCAGCGCCCGGCCGGGCTGCTGTGGGGAAGTGTACAAACGAGCCGCGCTGGCGGGAGGGGCGGGGGGGGGGGGAGACGGCTGAGTGACATTTACCATCCTCGAGAATGACAGAGCCTGGGCCTGGGAACCAGAGAGCGTCCTCTGGGACTGGCGGGGGGGGGGGGGGGGGGGGGGGGGGTGGCGGTCAGGGTGCTCACACACCGTCTACGGTGGCTGGGGAAGTGCGCTTCTCGGAGCTCCTACACTCCAGGGAGTGTCGTACCTGCCCTGAACCCCACGCACCGGTACACACACGTACACGTACACACACGTGTACACACACACACACCGGGGTGCCCAGTTGGCTCACACCTGTCATCCTAGCTACTCAACGGGTTGAGATCTGAGGATCTCGGCTCAAAGCCAGCCTGGGGCACAGTGTCTGGACCCAGAGTTCAAACCCCACAACCAGGGGCTGGGAAGGTGGCTCAGTGGTAGAGCGCTTGCCTTGCATGCATGAGGCCCTGGGTTTGATTCCTCAGCACCACATAAGCAAAAAGAAAAAAGCCGGAAGTGGCGCTGTGGCTCAGGTGGTAGAGCGCTAGCCTTGAGCTGAGAGCTGAGGGGACAGCGCCCAGGCCCAGAGTTCAGGCCCCATGACCGGGCTAAAAAAAAAAACAAAAACAAAAACCAACCCCACAACCAACAACAAAGAGAGGGCGCGCGCGAGAGAGAGAGGAAAGAACTGGCTGGATATTACAAACATTTCTTCCCGTGAATATGACATGCCTCAGTCAAAAGGTCCAAATGGTGTCCGTGTTCTCTAACATTTTTCTTGTTGTTGTCGGTCGTGGGGCTTGAACTCTGGGCCTGGGCGCTGTCCCTGAGCTCTTTTGCTCAAGGTGAGTGCTCTACCACTGTGAGCCACAGCACCACTTCCGGTTTTCTGGTGGTTTACTGGAGATGAGAGTCACCACGGAACTTTCCTGCCGGAGCTGGCTTTGAACCACGATCCTCAGATCTCAGCCTCCTGAGTAGCTAGGATAACAGGCATGAACTATGGGTGGCTGGCTTATCTGAATCTTTTTAGACATGGGGCCCAGAGCTCTCTTTTCACTGCCTGTGCTAGAAACGTCAGGGTAGAGCTAGTATCGATTGTGACATCCGTACTGAAGATCTATTCATGCTGATCATCAGCTTGTAGAGCAAGAATACATTACAACGGTTCAATTCTGAAGCCACAGTCACGCAGAACCATCCTTATGCATGCCTGTAGAACTGGTGTTCAGCTTTGGGATATATCTATAGGGGAAGATATCCATGGATATATCTATAACTACAGATATATCTGTAGATCTACGTCTAGATCTACATCTATATAGATCTATAGATATGTATAGATAGATCTAAATCCATATATCTATAAATACATCTAGATCTGTAGATAGACATAACTATATAGATTTATCTATATAGATCTAGATCTATCTATGTCTACAGATACAGATATATCTATATAGACCTATATAGGTATATCTATATATATCTGAAGATATAGATATATCTATTTATATCTATATACATCTATATATGAATATAGATCTATACAGAGATTTATCTATAGATATCTAGGTATATATTTATATATATAGATATATATCTCTATAAATCTTCCCCTTCATGGTGTTAAGTTTAGCCTATAATCTAGAAAATGGAGGTCATTTTGGACCCAGACGCAGCCATCAAATGCACTTTCCCTCTCTCCTAACGTAGGATTATGGGCCATATTAATTAAACAAATATTTATTGTCCATCTTCCATGGGCCAGCTGCCGTTCTAGATGAGAGCGAGCAAAGTAAGGTGTCCTGCCCCTCCCCTCCCCACCATAATGGTGCCTAGCTTCTAGACGTACTCAAGCGTCTACATGTGGCGGATCACAAAGTAGGTCAAAACCTATGTAGGAGAGGACAGACGGAGCAGCGGGTGGACATGTGGAATGCTCCAGCACGGCGCGTGCGCGCTCGGCCAGGGTCTCCCCGAGGAGCAAGGTGAAGGAGCCCAGAGAGGAGGAGGAGGAAGAGCGTGAGAGCCAGCAGGGGATCTGGGGGACAGCATTCACGAAGACACATCCGGAGAGAGAAAGAAAGAATCCGACCGGAGAGCATCGAAGCGCTTGTGGGGTGAAGAGGAGGTCCCAGGGGCACGGCCTCCGGCTTCTGCTCAGAGTGAACCCAGGAAATGGGGGGGGGGTTGGGGGGTGTCAGCAGGCCGGCGACGGCCCGACCTGCACGCTGGGGCTGTCATCTGTGCTGCTGCGGCGGTGACAACGCCGTCAGCCGGGTGGAAGTGAAGATGAGCGGTTACGAGGCGAGCAAGGTGGCACGCGGGAACGTGGGCAGATCGCGGATAGACACGTGTCTCTGATTTAAGATCGTTTGATTTCAATTCTCGTTTTTAATCTTTTTTTTTTACTTTACCACGGTGATCAAAATTATATTCATTCAGTCGAAGTAGAAGCTGCACTTCTGATTCGGAATTAAAAAAAAAAAAAAAAAAGCTTCATCTAACCTAGTGGTATCTGCTCTCAGTGCTGGACGGCAGTAAGGAGCAACCAAGCTCCCAACCAGCTATGAACATGTGAGCCTAAGTGGTATTCTACAGGGCGCCGTGTCGCTGTGAGGTTTGTTTTTGATAATGGTTTCCGATACGTGAATACATGAATTACACATTAGGACACAAACTTACTAGCAGGGCTCTGATGGCCCACACCTGTCATCCTAGCTACTCGAGAGGCTGAGGTCTGAGGTTCGTGGTTTGAAGCCAGCCTGGGCAAGGGAAGTCCGTGAGGCTCTTCCCTTCAATAAACTACTCAGAAAAAGCCAGCCGTGGCGCTGTGGCTCAAGGCGTAGAGCACTAGCCTTGAGCACTGAGAGACTAACAGTGCTCGGGCAGTGTCCGGGCCCTGAGTTCAAGCCCCAGGACTGGAGAGTAAAGTAAAACGAAAAGTTTTAAAAACTGGCTCTGTATGCTGTAAGATTAAACAAGTCCGATGTGTTCAATGCACTTTCTGGCACGTGATATTTTCGATTTGATGATAGTATTAGTGGGATGAATCCCACCAAAAGTGGCCCGACATCTGCATCTTGTCTCTTTACATGGATGTGAGATGGGGTTTTTGTCTTGAACAACCAGAATGGTGGCACTGCCACCAACTGAGATCAGGGGAAAAGCAGACACAAGTCCGGAAGGTAAAATGAGGTGTTCTACTCTTTGGATCTGTTAGGGTTTGAGCATCCTAAGGCGTCTCTGGGTAGATGCTGAGTAGGCTCATGCATATGTAAGCTCGAGATTGGAATAAACAATTG